AGTATATAAGAATTATACTTTGTATGCTATGATATTTCCAGTTCTTGTTTCCAGGTGTACTCTTAAGTTGGAGGAAGTATCAAATTGGTGTACCCTGGGCCTTGGCAACTTTCTGAATGCTACAAGTGTTTTGCTCATCTTCGAATTTCTTCGAACAACCGAGGGGCTTACATGGCTTTTCAGTTTACGTGTGTAGTCCACAGTCGGGATTCTTTCTGTGGAGCTTGAACGAGCTTCACAACGCAGAATCACGTGGACACTCCCACGAAACGGCTTTGATTTGCATGTTTTGCCGGCAACACTTTGATACAATATGTCTAATGAGTCTAAAATTGATGTTGCCTACTGTCCAATGGTGCCTGAAACGGTTTGATATTGTCTACTGTAATAATATTGCCTACTGTGCTTGTAGCTTTCTGATTGTGAGTCAGAAGCGGCCTCGGAGGCCCTGGCTGCGTTCAGGAACCATGCAGTAGTGGTTCTCTGAAGTGCTTCTGAAAAACACTGATTAGCGGGTAGCATGTAGCACGCTTGTCTGCACAGAAGCCCCTCCTTATTCTCTTGAAACCATTACTGTATAAACCATTCCCCTTTCGGTGGCAACTCTTTGGCGTAGATCGCGCCAACCGCCCCATCTTGTGTATTGTGTTTCTACAATACAGACACAGTTTTGGTGGGAGGCACCCTGCCTTAGCAAATACGTACGGTGTACCATGTGCATCTGGAACTGCTGGTATTTAGCCTGGCATTTTCCCTAACTATGCAACAGCATAGGAACACCAGTGCAATCTTTCAAACCTGAAGCTGCACCTCATTGATGTCGAGTGGTCTGTGTACTGCATGCCTGGCAAGTTCCCTGGTGCAGCTGCCACCAGAAGTGAGAAGCTGAAGAGACATTTTTAAAGGTGTTGGATGAAAGCAAAGGAGTGGAGGTTAGAATAGAGTAATAATGACTAATACCATGCTCATGCTCGGGCAGAGTGAGTTGGGGGGAAGTGTCCACTATATAATTGGAAGAGGGCGTTGGCTCGGCGTGCAATGTGATGCTTTGATGAGTGGTGAAGTCATGTGAGGATTGGACAAAATCGGTTTGGTTCAGAATGGAAAGAGGAAGGGGCGATCTCCTTTGACCATCTTGGGGTCCCTAAGAGGTCGGGATTTTATCCACTGACGACGTGGTGATGTGGCGTGAGGTGATTGTCACTTGCTACTAGGAACAAGGACGCTACTAGGAGCAAGGACGCTACTAGGGGCTCCTGGCATCGCTACT